GTACCTAACCGCCTTATAGCTATTTTCTTTAAGGTAGAAATGAGGTTTCGTCTGTTCGGGCCGTGGTAAGGTTGGAATTACATATCTGTGAGGTGTGATCATGCTTTTCTGAATACTCAGTTTGGTTTGGAAAAATCCGGCAAACAATCTGTTTCTTTTTTAATTATACTATACTGCCTATGTTTATTCTCCGTCATAAAAATGGAGAATTCTCAATGTGATACATAATGAAGCTAAGATCAGTTGAATTTACATCACAGAGCGCCGAGGGATGGCGAGATGCTGGGATGAAAACGTAAAAAGCCACTTACCTTTAACTGTAAACAGATGGGTGCGACTTTACCAGATAAACCCAACTTGGCAATGTCCCGTGCTCCTTTTTATTTGTTCGTTACAGATATGCTAAATTTATTGCATTATATGTTTTTCAAAATAATTATCACTGTAATATTTAGTCAAGTTTAGACAGATCAATTCAACTGCTCATTGCTTTGAATTTCAACGTACTATCACAAGTGACCTCGACTTATTTGCTGTGGAGATGATCATCTCATTTTCAAGATCCTTTGGTGCAACGAAAAAGAACTGTTTTCGTCTATCAACACGACAAAGGAGCAAAGTAAACCAGTTGAATTTAATCATATCTCACAGAGATGACAGTGCTTCCAGCCCGGATGACAATCTCGCAATCCAGCCAAAATGAGTGCATGTTGACCTAACAAAAGAGTTCGTGTTGTCACGCTTCAAGTCTGATTGTTGAATGATACTTTCACAACAAGGGACCTTAATGGACTGGGAACTGTGCTACTAAAGGACTTTACAAGTGTTTTACATTTGGAAGAACTTGAATGTGAATCAGTGCGAATTCCAACAGCCGAGATGAACTGAGGAGTTGTATGAGTTACTGTTCGTTTATTGTGTACAGTTGAAAGAAGATTCAGTTTGCAGATGCATCTTAATTGTAATCTTTTACTTGTGGGCTCTTTATTCTCCCACAAATAGTATACCATAACCTCAGAAATAGTATAGGGTAACTTCAGAAATAGTATAGTATAACCTCAGAAATAGTGTAGTATAACCTTAGAATAGTATGTTATATGGCCTCAGAAATCTTATATTATTGCAAAGATTTTGTATCGCGTTACTCAGATCGGAGCGGAGAGCTTTTGAGGACCACACCCATTTTTAACGCCTGCAACTTGAAAGCATTGAAGAAATTGACTGCAAAGTTGAAACGTTTTCCTAAAATTTATCTGGAAACAATTTGGCATTTCATGTGATTGGTCAAGAAACTTGATGTTCTTTTTCTTATTGTCAAGTGGCAATCGTTTTTTACGGGCATGCTTTTGAAATTGTGAATTTTGCAGTGTTGAATCAAAAATTGCCCCGGATTAAATTCTACATTCCTTTTATTACTTTAGCCTTCTCTATCGGTTTAGAATATTTTTGAACCCTCGTTGGAGATCTTCCAACGTTTGTAAAATCATGAGATTCAAGATGGCGGATACAAGAGAGCTGCTGTTTAGAATTAATGGCTTTACTTCACGTGATAAGAGATGGTCATTCTATGTTATGGTCCTTAAAGGAAATATTTTTCATCGTCATTTCATTTGCAAAGCTTCCATTCTCTAAGAGTTACAGGGGTATGGCCTCAAAAAGCTCTCCTTCTCCGTCCGTGAAGAGCAAACAAAAGGCCAGTAAAAATAAGATTAACGTGGATATGTTTACGGGAACTCCTCACGGAATTGATCGGAGAAACAAATTAGGGCAGGTTAATTGTTTGCCGTACTAATGGATGAATTTTTATCGAATATAATCTTCAGCCGTTAAATTTTAAACTGTTCGGTCAGTCTGTCGAAGAATAGCTCATATGAAGTGTTTGTTATCGCAGATATGCCCACGTTAATAATACTTAAAGGAATTTGAAGCTGCCATGCGTGATAAGTAAGAAATCGAGTGCACTTTTGTGCATGGATTATTTAGGTGTGATAAGTCGTAATTGTAGTTAAATGAAGATCTTTGGCAGATAAATGTTATTAAATTAAATAAGCTTGTGACCGTTTAAAAGTAGTATTCTCTTTCTAAAGCAAGCACGTGGAGTTGATATTGCGCTTACAAGGGCGGGCGGAGATGGGCGGAAGGGGAAGGNTAGTGAAGAAATCAAGCTCTACGCCACGTATATCAACAATTTATTTGTCGCGCATACTTTTCGGGCATCTTGCAATCACGTTACTCTTGATCAACTGAGGCTGAAGTTTAAAGCAGTTAATCCTACATATGATGCCACGAAGCTCATCCCTTTCAAGTTATTTTTAGACATGATATCCAGTTCTCCCGTGGACAGAGTTACCACGCACGTTGCGTGGATGTTCTCGTGAACGATAACAATTTGAGTAAAACGGCGAAGGCTGTGCACGCGAGTAAAATCCTCGTCACAGGAATTGGCTCTTTCTAGACCGTCCTGGAGGGGGGGGGGGGG